CAAACTCCCTCCCACGACGCCTCGCACCCCTCCCTCCGCACCCCTCCCCATCCCCAAACTCCCTCCCACGAGCCTCGCACCCTCCCTCCGCACCCCCTCCCATCCCCAAACTCCCTCCCAGAGCCTGCACCCCAATCCCCTGCCCCAGCCTAGGGGCTGCACCCCAGTCCTCCTCCCTCACCCAAACTCCCTCCTAGAGCCTGGGGCGGGGTTCTGGGCACCACCAAAATTTCTACAAACCTGCCACCCCTGATCCTGCCCTGCAAACCTGAACTCCCAGCACTCTCAGGACACAGGCTGATCCCTAGTGAACACTGCTGATATCCAGCACCTCCCTCCTCTCTTCACCTGTGAGTCCCTCTCAGGATTGGAACTGGACTGGAACCAAAGACCATCTTGGAAGCAACATTACCAATTAGACCCCCCCCCCCAAAATCACAGGCTCTACCACCGCCGCTTCAGTCATTCTTCGGCGGCAATTCGGCAGCAGGCCCTTCCCTCCGAGAGGGACTGAGGGACCCGCCGCCGAAGAGCCGGCCCCGGGAGAGGGCGCAATTTTATATTCTTGCCTCGGGTGCAAAAATACCTAGTTACGGCTCTGGGTGGTTATCCTCTGTATGAGACAGGCACACTGTACCCTCTGCTAACCCAGGGTGGCTCTCTGGTTCCCTCTAGTGGCTGAACCGCATAGAGGTCGATAAATCGGCTACAGGAGTTGGCGTTACACAGACGGTTCCTTTAGCTCAGGCATTACAGGTGTTTGCTCTCCACAGAGCTGAGCAGAGAACCCAGGAGTTCAGGCTCTCAGCCCCCCACCTGCTCTAACCCACCAGCCCCCACTTCCCTCCCAGAGCTGAGCAGAGAACCCAGGAGTCCTGGCTCTCAGCCCCCCACCTGCTCTAACCCACCAGCCCCCACTTCCCTCCCAGAGCTGGAGAGAGAACCCAGGAGTCCTGGCTCCAGCCCTCCCTGCTCTCACCCACCAGCCCCCACTTCCCTCCCAGAGCTGAGCAGAGAACCCAGGAGTCCTGGCTCCAGCCCTCCCTGCTCTCACCCACCAGCCCCCACTTCCCTCCCAGAGCTCAGCAGAGAACCCAGGAGTCCTGGCTCCAGCCCTCCCTGCTCTCACCCACCAGCCCCCACTTCCCTCCCAGAGCTGAGCAGAGAACCCAGGAGTCCTGGC